GGGGCGTCTCACCTCGGCATGCCCTCACCAGCCCTAATCTTGGGGGGCAAGGACGACAGGTATGTCTAGGTCAGGGCCACGAGATTGGGGAGGCAAGATGCCAGCTAGCGTGGAGGCCATCCCTCAGCTTCTGGAGGGGGGCTGTGATGGGCTCCATAGAGACAGTCTGGTGGGGAGTCCTGCAGAGAGGTAGGTCCTCCCCACCCTTCTCTTGTCCCCTTTTCGATAACTCTTTGTGTCTAACCTTCATGCCCACAGAACCTGTGGTTTGCCAACCCTGGAGGCAGTAACAGCATGCCCAGCCAGAGCCGGAGTTCCGTGCAGCGCACCCACTCCCTCCCTGTGCATTCCTCCCCTCAGGCTCTCCTCATGTTCCCACCAGGTGAGGCTCCCTCTCCCTGGGGCCTTTGTCTCTGTCTCTCTCTTTTCCTTCCAAGTTTTGGGATCAGTTTCTCTCTCTCTCTCTCTCTCTCTCTCTCTCTCTCTCTCTCTCTCTCTCTCTCTGTGTCTCTCTCCTTTGCTCTTTATCTCTTGGTATTTTGAGCTCTCATTCTCTGTGTTTTCATTCTGTGTCGTGATCTTATTGTGTTTGTCTTTACTTCCGCATGTCAAGTTTTAAAAACTACAGTATAATTTATGTAGATTGAGGCCTGAATTTTAGGATCTCAGAGATCTCTTTTTGCCCTAATATTCTGTGACTAAACATAAAAGTAGACATGTGGACAAAAGGAATGTGCCAGTGAACTTGATTTAATCCAAAGCTGTTAGCAAAGTTTCATACCAAAAGATAGGTATTTTTGAATGAGTCATCTCCTGGAATTAGGCAGATTGAGGGCTGTTTTGCCATAATACTGATTGACTTAGAAATGGAAAAGAAATAGGGTAGAGAAATGGGCCCTTCTCAGGTTAAAGTAGGGACTTTGAGGTCACAGTTCAGACATCTGGGGATCAGTTTGGGAAGATTATATTGTTGTTCAGGCGTGCCCGACTCTGACCCTGTGGGCCTTATCACACCAATACTGGCCATGGACTTTTCTTGGCAAAGATACTGGAGTGCGTTGCCATTTCCTTCTCCAGTGGATTAGGGCAAACAGAGGTAAAGTGACTTGCCTAGGTTCACACAGCTGAGTGTCTAAGGTCGGATTGGAAGTCAGGGCTTCCTGACTCTGGGCCTGGTGCTCTAACCACTGAGTTGCCCAGCTGCCTGAATAAATGAATGATCTAGAAAAGGGTATGGTCAGGTGAAGTCTCCTAAGCTTGTAGGTGATGGTGAGTGAGTTAAATGCCAAACTATTGGTGATAAAATACAGGGATGTCTCACAAGCCTATTTGAGTGGAAAGAAAAGGTAAGTTACATCTTCCAGTACACACATTTGACTTCATGTGCTTAGGCACTGCCTTTTGCCTCTTTTTGTATCTGCAGCACTTAGCACAGTGCCTGTCACATAGTAGGCACCTAATAAAGGTTGATTGATTGACTTCGGGTTAAACGTGTACAATGTACAGTGCTGGGCTTTGTGCTGCCCACATTAGAAATGCAGGGTCCAGAATCTCACTGGAGTTTGGGCCTTAGAGATAGTGCCCCTTTTGCTGCAGTGTGTATTCTCAGAGCCTTTGTCAGCTTTTCTTCTCACTGGTTGAGGTCCCCTCTTCTGATGTTCTATGCTTCCATGCTTCCCTGGAGCTGGAAAAGGTCCCAAGGAGAGCCCTGTAGTCACAGGCAAGCTCTGGACATGGCTTGAAATGTAGCTCCCGTGCTCTCCCTAATTGCGCTCTCTGAAGATTCAGGCAGAGATGGGACGGGTTGGGGTTCTCTCAACTCAGGAAGGGGTGTGGAAAGTGAGAGTGTTGGCTTGTTTCTCAGCCCCTGTGCACACACTATGGAGCCTGGGCATCAGAGGCCCGGCCCCTGGGACACAGGCTCTTCCCCGCGGTAGGTACTTGCTTGTTGATCTGAGAACAAAACGCATGTCAGCCCACTTTGCCCAGTGAGGAGTGGTCTTCATCTTTGCGTGAGGAAGGCTGACTGGGAAATAGAAGCATGGTCAGGAAGGGCTTTATGTGATAGAGTGACATCGGGTAAGTGGAGGAGGTTTGGGGCACACATCCTCAAGGAAGGCACATCACGGAAGGCAGTGGCCACTTCATGCCAGTCAGGCTGTCTTGTCTCTTATCTCACTGTGGTCTGAAGAGGGTCCTTCTCCAACTCTTTCTCCCTTCTCTGCTTGTCTCACCTCAGTTCTAGCCACCATCGTCCCTTTGTTTCTGCTTCCTGGTATCATCCTCCATCTCTCTCCTGTCGTCTTCTCACACTTTTCCCCTTACCTCTGTCCAGACTGCCAGGTGCCGGGCCCAGACCTGGAGATCAACCCGACGCTGGAGTCTCTCTGCCTCAGCATGACAGAGCACGCTTTGGGTGGTGAGAGCTTCCCTTCTCCCGTCCCCTCCATGGGCTCCTTTGTCAAGATTATTCCCTGGGCCTTTCCCTCTTAGCCTACCCGGCAGCAACAGCAGCAGCACCTGGCAGGAGGCCCAGGTCCCAGGGATGCGGTCTGGGGAGGGCTGGAGGCATCACCTCTGCATCTCTCTTTCAGCTCCTGACTTCCCTTGTTCCTCTCTCTCACCACAGATGGGACAGACAAAACCTCCACGATCTGATGTGACTGAGAGCCCAGCGGACACGTCGTCTCCCTGGGGTGGGGAGAGGGGGCCACCCTGTCCCTTTGGTGACAGAGGGGTGGTGTTGGCTCAGTTATATGTTCTAATATTTTTCTACTTTATTATCCCTTTAACTCTGGTTTAATATTGAGACACCATTCGCCCCCCTCCCCCCGGAAGCCCCACGTTGCTGTGATGCAGGGTGTAGAGGGGGAGCTCTGCTGAGGGCCAGGGGAGCTGCCCTGGGCACCTCATTTTCCCCCAGCTTCCTTTCTGGATGATGGCTTTCCCAGAACTCTGGCCACCCCCCCTCCCCCCCAGAGAAACTGACTCCAAAGGAGATCACCAGATTCCCCCCTTCCCCTTGAGTAGGGGTTTGCCCAAGCTCAGGGGGTGACAGAGCACAGATCTGCCTGCTCTGGTCGTCAACACTTTGTGGGAGGAAGCAAAAGGCTTGTTTTCTTCCATTATTTCCCCTCTTTCTCACAGACACACACATCTTGCCCCAAGGATGGGAGTCACCTCCCTCTCTTCCACCCCTCCCTCCCAGAGTTTCCGTACGATTAATTTCTTAGGCCTATTTAAGACATATATTTATATAGTTCTTAGCGGTTTCTCTGTCTCTCTCTTTCAATCACACTCTCCCTTCCTCTCATTTTTAATCTCATTGGGTCTCTCTGAGCCATGATGTGTGGAGGGAGGGTGACAGGGGAGGCTGAGGGTTTAGGGGATGGAACCAGGGGAGAGGGCAGTGCCTTCTCCCCCCATCCTCTGTCCACCCTGCCCCCCAGACTCCCCTCTACCCCCTGCCTAGCTCCTGGAGGCCCCGGGGGGAGGGAAGGCAGGGCAAATAGGTGGGGGAGCGACCAGTGGGGTCAGAAAGTCTGTTGCCTTAATGCCCCCTCCCTTCACACACACCCCTTCTGTAGCCCCACCCTAACCAGGAGGTGAGAGACTGAGGGTGGGCAATGGAAGGGCGTCTCTTTAAGTTTTTTCCTTTTCTTCTAACCCTCTCCCTGCTCTGTCGTGACCTCACTAAAGTGGAACACTACATCATAGCCTAGAGTCCCATCCCCCTACCTCCTTGGGGCAGCTGGAAGGGAGATGTCAGAAACGACCACCCTCTCCTCCCCCTCAGGTGGGCCCACCCTACCCCTTTCTGCTGGGACTCTCTCAAGCTTTTCACACAGAAAAGGAAAAAAAAATGTTATTTTTAGATACATTTTATGAATAACTTTTGTTATGACTATGGCTGGTAACCATTACGTATGTTATTAAAGAAACAAAATGTTGGAAAAAAAAAACCAAAAAACCCCCCCAAACCTCCTGGCCCCTCTCCCTTCTTCCCAACAGCCACCCAGTCTGGTGCCCCTGGCTCCACTTTCCCTTCTCAACTCCTGGTCTTGTCCCCTTCCTGCCCTCCTTTTTTGTCCAGGGAGGGAGGGGGGCAGGGAATCCCAGGGGCCTCATCTCCAGGGGGGCCTCTCCATGCCCTGGCTGGGGGGAGGGGTGGGGAGGGGCTCGGGTTTATTTATGTACCTCTTGCACTCATCAACCTATGCAAGCCCCTTTCCCCCATCCCCTCCATATTGCTGTGCCTTTGCCTGTCCCCCATCTCCTAGGGGACACCATGATTTGGAATCAGCAGAATGGTGTTTTGTGGGGTAGGGGTTCCTGTCCACTCTAGGTTACCCCCCTGCCCCCATCCCCAGCCAGGTCCTATCCCATCATTCTGGTAGGCATGAGCCGGCTCAGTCTACTGGTGAGGACCTCCCTATTGGAAGGGGGTGGGGCCCCCTAGAGAGGAGAAAACCATCCTCTCTCCCCCTCCAGCCTGACACCAGAGTGTGTGGGACGCAGGCAGCCCCCACCCCGACGGGCAGGACCCAGTCCCCCGTCCCCTATCTTCCCTTCCCTCCCGGGCCCTCCATGGTTTCAGCACCCCCATCTTTCCCCAGCCCCACTGGCAGAAGCAGCTTTGAGTAACTGTACAGTTTTTCTCTCTGTTGGAGAAAACACATTTGTTGGAGTTTCACTTGTTTAATGGTCCGGGCTTATTTTGGAAAAAAAAATTCTGACCTTTGTTATAATACATTTACTGAAAACCCAAAATTCCTCTGACCCAATCTTTGGCCGCCTTGCTTCTCGTGATGGGGCCCCTGTGTGTGTTGGAGGGGGGTGGGTGGGGGTGTTCATGCCCCGGCTTTCCCCTCTGTATGTGGAAGGCAGGAAGGGATTGGGACGATTGTCCCAGCATCCCCTGGTTGGGGGAGGGAGAACTGTGTGGGGATAAAGGTAACAAGATTCCCGGCTTTCAACTTGTAAACATATTGCCTTTATTGACAGTAACAGTTTAAAAAAAAAAAAAAAAGAAATAGGTATTTTCCTTTTGTCCTGAGAATGGTGCCTGAGCTGGAGAGGCCCAGCCTCTCCTGGCCTGTTTGGTGGCCTCAGTCACTGTCACTGGCCTCCTCGCTGGAGTCAGAAGCGCCCCCCTCACTACCATCCTCTTGGGCTGAGTGGTCACTAGCGCTAAGGAAGGAGGGGCTGGGGCTGCGCTGCCCAGGCCCTCCCTCGCTGCCGCTCTCCTCGTCCTCATCCTCATCCTCGTCCTCCCCGCTGCCCCCGGCTCCGCCTCCCCCAGCCTCTTCCTCCTCATCTTCTTCCTCATCGTCCTCTGAGTCTGCGTCGCTCCCGAAGATCTCCTCCTTGTCTCTGGCTGCCCGGGCCTCGTCCTCACTGCTCTCTTCCTCGGCCTCATCCTCTGCACTCCCGCTCTTCTCACTCTCCTCCTTCTCCTCTCCTCGGTCACTCTCACTCCCTGATCCTTCCTCTTCCTCTTCCTCACTCGCCTCTTTTTCACTGCCACTCCCTTTCTCCCGCTCTTCATCTGAGGGAGGGATGAGGGAGAGGATGTTAGTGCCACTCCTGCCCCCTGATGTCTGCCAGGCAGGCTCCCAGAGCACTCACCAGAGCCGGGAGCTCCTTTCTCCAGCTCCATGTCCTCTTCCTCCTCCTCTTCTGGCTCATGGTTCTCTAGCTGGGCCTTCCGAGCTTCCTAGAGTGGGGAAGGAGGAAAAGCTCTGGGGCAGCTAGCCGCCTCCCCTCCCCCCCTGCCCCCTCCTCCTCATCGCCCTTACCTGAGCCTCCAGCTCCTTCTCGTTCATGTCCCGGTGCTTGACCACCAGTAAGGCATTGGTGCCAGACTGCACCCCAGCCTTGGCTCGGCGTTTACTGAGGCGGACCCTACAGAGAGGGCAAAGGGAAGATCAGGAACCCAGCCTGAGGCCAGACGGAGGACAGGACACACGCGGGCAGGAAGGGGTGAGGTTGACCGTACACACCTGGTTTCCAACTCGTTGTAATAGACCCCATCACCTTCGCGGAAGATGAAGAAGTAGTTTTCCTCGTAGCCCTTGCTAGCCTTGTTCTTCACGTTCCAGTTGTACTCCCTTGCAATCTTATAATCGTAGCTGTGGAGGGATGGTCAGGGGGTGGTCAGCCCTTCCTTCCCTCTCTCCTGCCTTCTGGCCCTGTGACCCCACGCCCTGCCACTCACACGTCATCTGGCGCGTAGTCCATCTCCTCTTCCTGATCACGCTTGCGTTTCCTCATGGTCTCTTCCACTGGCAGAAAGTAGGCCACAAACTGGTTGCCCTCCTCATCCATCATTCCCCTGGAGGATGGAGGTAGGGTGTTGGAAGGGAAGGACAGATGGCCCAGAGGGAGGCACCACCGTTTACCTAGACTTGCCTGATCATGGCTTGAGACATCATCTCTAGGGCTGCAGAACCACTGGTGTCCTTGGGGGCTGGATCTGAGTCAAAGATCACTTGGGCACAGGGATTGATCCACATCTGGAAAGAGATGGGAAAGGAGGCTCAGAAGGCCAAGAGACCCTGCATCTTCCCTCCCCCCTCCAGATTCTCTCAGACTGACCTTGAAGTCTGGGAAAACAGGCATCACCTCCACTGGCGTCACCCTTGGCTTGCTATAGTGTTGAGAAATCTGAGGAGCAGGAGAACCCATAAAAATGGGGCTCCAAGCCCCTGTTTCCCCTCTGGAGTTAGTTCCTTGCCTCTGTCCCCCATTACCGACTTCTGGGCATCCTCAAAAGTCTTCTCAATGGCTGTGATCTGGCTGTCACGATCTTTGTAGATCTCCTCCTCCGTGAACTGCTGCTTCACAGACACCCCAATCCTAGGAGAGAGGAATGAGCCCGTGAAATGGAGGGATGGATCCTCTACCTACCCACAGCCCTCCTGCCCCTGTCACCACTTACTTGACTTCAGGCTTCTCATTGGAGATGCCATAACGGTTAAACTCTGTAGAGATATATTCTGTCTTTCTCATCCAGGGGACCACTTTCGCATGCTGCTGGGACCTGGGGGGAGGAGAAGCCAGGATAGGTTTCAAGACTCCCTCCCATATTACACCCAGACCTTCCCCTGACAGCTGAGCTGACCCCTGCAAAAAAAATCACCTTTTGGAGCTGGTTGGGGCCTGGATTTCTTCTTCAAGTAATTTCTCATCTGCTGGATCTAGGAGAACTGGAACAAGTTGGATTGTGAGGAGGGGGTCTGCTTGACACAGGTGACCCCCAGTCTTTCTCTATCTCCCCTCAGGGCCTCACCATTAGGGTCAATTCGATAGGTGTCAGGGTTAATGAGATCGATAGTGACTCCCAGGTCTGGCTCTGTGAGCAGATCATGTTTGTGCTGCTTTTCCAGAGATGTTGCCTTATACTGGACAAACCTGGGTGGAGGAAGGTGTAAGAGGAAGAGACTGGGATCTTCTGTGTGTCTCTGGTCTCCCCTCATCCCATAAGACACCACCCCCTTGCTGGGCCTGGATCAGTAACCTCTGTGCAGGGACTCTGGGTCGTGGAGGCCCTAGGGGGAAGGGGTCAGGGCCATATTCACCTGTTCTGGTCAAAGGGGTATGTGATGAACTTGGGATCAAAAGGGATGTCTGGAAGACTGTTACAGTACTTAACTCGACAGACCACACCGGACCTGAGAGCAAACCATTCATAACAGAGGGGCTCTCTGCAGACCCCTGCCAGTACACATGCAGGTCAGCCCCTCCCCTCCACCCCCCCTCAGTACAGATGCAGGTCAGCCCCTCCTCTCCAGCCCCGGCATCTCGCCCAGGCCCCCCACCTGTACACATGTAGGTCAGCCCCGGGGGTCTCACACACCGCCCCCCCCCCAGTACACATGGTCAGCCCCAGGGATCTCGCCCCCCACGAGTACACATGCCGGTCAGCCCCGGGGTCCCCCATCCCTCCTGCACTCACCTCTCCGGCAGAGTTCTATGAGAGTTGGGTCTGGGGGAACACAGGAATTCAGGTCATTTTTGCCCCACGCGGTGATGCCTGCCCCTCCCCTCCCCGGGTACCTCTCCCTGAGCCAGGAGCCCCTCTACAAAGATTCCAAAGGATGCGATCTCAAAGCTTGACTGAAGCACTCAAGAGCTGGGCAGGGGGATCTCAAAGCGTTAGAGCCTTCAGAAGTCTCTCCCGAGAGAAAAAGGAAAGAAATCCGGGGGCGCCCATTCGGGAGAAGGGGTAACAGCCCAGGATGGTCAGAGCTCAGTGACATCACCAAGAACCCGGGGTGCGCTGACGTCACGGGGAGGGACGGTGACGTCTGTAGCGCACCGCTGGCCCGCCGCTGCGGAGCCCGGGGTGGGGGGCGGTTCCTAAAGTGGGGGAAGCGCAGCGCTCTCTCACCTGTGGCCCTCTTCCCGCTGGGCCTGGGTCTGGATAGTAGGCGCCATGACGACGATGAGGAGAACTACCACTCACGAAGGGGGCCAGGCCCGGCCCGCGAGCCACGCAGGCGGCTCTCTGGGCAACCCTGTGGGCCGCTCCGCCTCCCGGCCTCCCAGGCGGCGGCGGCAGCGAGGACCCCGCGGGACTCCAGGGCCAAACTACCGACCGCGGGCGAAATGCCTTCTGGGAAACGTAGTCCCGGTTTATTATTTGTTTACTCGGCGATGGATTGGCCACAGTGGGAGGAGGCGGGTTTTTGAGGAAGGAGAAGCTTGTGATTGGTCGGATGTGCACGAACTGGAATAATGGCAGGGGAAGAGGCGGCCCAAATGCAACCTCGAAGCTTGGGATTGCTCGGTTAGCCAAGGCGAGGCGTAAAAGTGACGCACATCCGCGATCGCCTTGAGTGACCGAGACTGCGACCAACGGGAGGCGGTGGATTAAAGGAAGAAAAGATGGCGGCACCTCCACCGGCGCAGCCGGCGCCCCAGCCTCCGCAACCGCCTACGGCCGGCGTCTCCGGCCCAGGATCGGCGGGTGCCTCGGTTCCGGGGCCTCCGCAAGCTCAGGCGCCGCAGCAGCAGCAGCCTCCCTCGGCACAGCTTGTAGCGGCCTCACAGATCCAGGCAGCACAGAGCGGCCTCCTGCAGCAGCAGCAACAGGACTTCGACCCTGTGCAGCGTTACAAGCTTCTGATTCCTCAGCTCAAAGAGAGCCTACAGGTGATTGGCCCCGAACCCCCAAGGGAGGTGGGTCCAGACATGAGGCAGGGGTGGCAATTGGTGGGTGGGCTGTCGAGGAGGCGGGACTCGGTAAAGAGACTGGGCTGGATGTTTGGGGACGCTAACCCTGGAATTGGTAGCGAACAAGGGAGGAGGCGGGACTACGAGAGCACCGGAGCCTGGGAGTGGAGGAATGATTAAGCTAGAGCTGCCGCCCCCATGGATCTGCGCATGCGGGACTGGGGGAGGTCTAGTAAGGCCGGCGTCGGGAGGGAGGGCAGGTCGTGGGCGGTACGTTGTGGAGAAGGTGGAAGTAGGCGAACCCCAGGGTCGATGATTGGCCGGATGGTTAGGAAGGAGGCGGTGCCTGGAGTTTCAGAGCTTGACCCCCTGGGGTGGACTGGGCGGAAGGGGAGAGTTGGTTCCTCTCTGGGCGTGGTTTGCCAGACATGACCCCGCCCTTCTCCATCCCATCCCAGAACCTGATGAAGGTGGCGGCCCAGAACCTGGTGCAGAATACCAACATCGACAATGGCCAGTGAGTGTCTGAGGGCTCGGCCCCGCCCCCACGCCATGCCCCGCCCCCCGGGCCGTGCCAGGCCCTTAGCCAGGACTACAGGGTGCCCCAGGGTCTGCCCTTTTCTGCAGGGGGTCCGGGTCCCTGGAAGCCGGGGCTTCCCCTTCTCAGCGACTTGCTCTGATCCCTCCCTGGCAGGAAGAGCAGCGAGGGCGGGCTGCAGCGCTTCGACAAGAGCCTGGAAGAGTTCTACGCGCTCTGTGACCAGCTGGAGCTGTGCCTGGTAATACTCTGCATGCAGGCTGCATGCACTACTCCTCCTGGGACCCCAGCAGGGTTTGAGCTTTTTGAAATTCTCGGAAAGGGGGAGGCCTGATCATATGGGATCCAGGAAGAAAGGAGAAGACCCCAAAAGGGAGCATTCCTGCAAAGACACTGGAGAGGAACCCGGGGCTGCCTACTCAGCTGGGGCCTCCTCGTAGAGAGCCACTCCAAGCTGGGGAGGGTCCTGGTCTGAGCCCAAAGAGCCGGCCTTCGGCCAGATAGGATGGCCCACAGGCTGAGGCCAAGGATAGAGCTGGTCTGAAAAGAAATTGAGACCAGATGTTAATACAAGATGGGGAGGGGAAGCCAGGGTTGAGGCAGGATGGGATGAGGTCAGGCCTGGCATGGGAAGGACCACAGACAGGATCATAGCTCTCGAAGGGATGCTAGATGTCCTCAAGTGCAGGTCATTTCACAGATGTGGAAACTGAGGCACAGAGAGGGGAAGTGATTTGCTCTAGATCACACACGGCTGGGATTTGAACCCAGATCCTTGGCACCACGACACCTCAAGGAAGGCCAGGACTGAGGCAGGTCACTAGGGAGGGAAATAGGGCTGAGGGGGCTTCTAGATGAGAAGACAGCCAGGATAGCTGCAGAAGGAGGGAGGGGGCCAGGGAAGGATGAGGAGGGCTAGTGTCCCAGCAGCCCTCGGGGTCTCCAGCACCCCCTCTTCAGGGCTTTGCCAGAGTTTTAGAATGCTATTTGCCATACTGACATTGAGGAACTCTGTACCACTGAGGGCAAACGCTTTGTCTGTCTTGAAGAATGCACAGTATTCCGCGGTCACCCCTGCGCACACAGATGATCCGCACTCTATTTATCTAGCTCTGACTTCCCTCCCCTTCGGAACCTGTCTAGTGGATGTCCTGTAGACATTTTAAACTCGCCACATCCCAAACTAAACAATTGTCTTCTCCCCTAAACTCTCCCCCTTTCCACATGTTCCCATTGCTGTCGAGGCCACCGCCATGCTCCCAGTTACCCGGACTCAAAACAGATGTGTCATCCACAGTGACTCCTCCCTCCATCTCAGCCCCCCACGTCCAATCTGTTACCAAGACCTGGCAGTGCTGTGGAATATGCCCCTGCCGCCTCTCCCAGTGCAGACCCTCATCCCCTCGTGCCTGGACTGTCACAGAAGCTGCTGGGGGGGGGGGGGTCGGCCTGAGTCTCTCCCCTCTGCAGCTTATCCTCCACTCAGCTACCCAGATGATCTTCCTAAATCTCAGGGCTGATCAGATCACCTCTCTATTCAGCAAACTCCAGTGGTCCCTCTGACTTCCAGGATTAAATAACCTGTTTGGAGGCCAGCTCGGTGGCGCGGTGGATAGAGCACCGGCCCTGGAGTCAGGAGGACCTGAGTTCAAATCCGGCCTCAGACACATAACATTTACTAGCTGTGTGACCCTGGGCTAGTCACTTAACCCCATTGCCTAGCCAAAATAATAATAATAATAACCTGTTTGGCTTTTAAACCCCTTTCTACCATCCTTACATTCCCCTCCACAAACTCAGTGGTTGCGCTACACTGGCCTCCTGGCTGTTCCTCCAACCAGACACTCCATCTCCAGACTCTAGGCATTTTCTCTGGCTGTGCCCTCTGCCATGAATGCCCTTGATCCTCATCTCTGCTCCTGGGCTTCTTCCAGTCCCAGTTAAAATCCCGATTTCTAGGGAACCTTTCCTTTTGGGGGGGGGGGGCACTAGGCAATAGAGTTAAGTGACTTGCCCAGGGTCACACAGCTACTAAGTGTCAGGTGTCAGAGGCCAGATCTGAACTCAGGTCCTCCTGACTTAGGGAAACTTTCCTGATCTCCTTTAAAGTCTGTACCTTCTCTCTCCTGATTATCTCAGTTTACCCTGTATACATCCTGCATACACCAATTGTTTCCACATTGTGGGCTTTTTTTGTGTCTCCAATGCCAGGTTCATAGTAAGGGCTTAATAAATTCTAGTTGACTTGAATTGGTCTGGGACCCTGAAAGGTTACATGACTTGCCCAGGCTCACACAATCACTATGTGTCTGAGGCAGACCTTGAACTCAGGTCTTCCTAGTTTAAAGTGGGCCCGCTAAGTCATTCTGCCAGAGAACCTGGAGTCCAGCCCTGGCTCTTTTAATGACTAGGAAGCAGTATGTTCAGTCATTTTTCAGTCCCATTCAACTCTTTGTGACTCCTTCTTGGGACCTTTTTGGTAAAGATACTGCAGTGGTTTGCCATTTCCTTCTCCAGCTCATTTTACAGATGAGGAAACTGAGGCAGACAGGGTGAAGTGACTTGCCTAGGGTCACCCAGACAGTAAGTGTCTGGGGGCAGATTTGAACTGGGGAAGAGGAGTCATCCCGACTTCAGGCTCAGCACTCTATGCACCATGGTGCCACCTAGCGTCCCCTAGCAAGGAGTGTGACCTGGTATTGTCAATGCTCTGCCTCAGTTTAACCATCTGTAAAATGAAGAGGCTGAACTGGTGGGCTCCCACTTTGAGCTCTTACGGCCTGTTTCCTCTGATCCTCAGTCTGTCCTTACCACGTGGGACGTTTCTCCTAATTCTTTGCCAGGCCTGTCTTGTCCAGTTGATCGGTGCCTCTGTCCTCTCTGGGCACCTTGTCTCTCCACGGCAGTTACGGTCCCATTTCTCCAACCACGGTTTCTTTTTAAACGGTGTTTTCCCTTTTACTGTAGTTAATTGATGACTTCCTTTTCCTTCCCTTTTTGTGCTTTGAAAACAGGACTTTTTGTCAAGATTCAGCTCTGGTATTCACTGAGTGGTCCCACTGTGCGTCAGGCACAGTGCTAAAAGCATCTCACATTTTAATGAGGGGGACAGTACTTTGGGGAATGCACCCAGGAGGACTTTGGTGGGAGGGGTCCAAGGGATGGTGTGGGGGACTCTAGTCCTTTGTCACACATTTTCAATCACAGCTTCTGGATCTAAATACTGAGGTGGTAAGGGAAGCTAGGGCAGCCAGGTGGCACCGTGGAGAGAGCTCAGGCCTGGAAACAGGAAGACTCATCTTCTAGAGTTTAAATCTGGTCTCAGACACTGGCTAGCTGTGTGACCTCGGGCAGGTCACTTCACCCTGTTTGCCTTAGTTTCCTCATCTGTAAAATGAGCTGGAGAAGGAAATGACAAACCACTCCAGTATCTCTGCCAAGAAAACCCCCCTGTGGGGTCACAAAGAGTCGGACATAACAGAGCAAGAAAGGGGGAAGCTAAGGGAATGGGGCATTGGTCCAGGCCAGGGTGGGGAACCTCAAGTGCCTTGGTCAAGGGGCCCCACTCCTGGCCCAGCCTAAGGCTCTTAGCAGGGCCCCAGGGCTAGGCCCTCGCTGGGGGGGGGGGGGGGGGGGGGGGGGGGGAGATTTCCCTTTTCTGACCAATCCAGGCAGCTCTGCCCCGGCCTGCCAAACTAAGCATCTCATTGTTGGTGCCGACTTCACCCCTGTGCCCGGTTCCTCTGAGACAGGAGGGAGCTTCTATTGGAATGCAGCATTCCAGGCACTGACTTTCTTTTCGAATGTAACGGCTCTTTTCCGGGAGAGCTTAATGTGTTTACTAGACTGACCAGCTGGGTCTTTGTCTCTCTTCCTCCTTCTCCCCCTCTCTCCGCACAGCGCCTGGCCTATGAGTGTTTGTCCCAAAGCTATGACAGCGCCAAGCACTCCCCGACACTGGTGCCCACGGCCACCAAGCCAGACGCGGTGCAGGCAGAGAGCCTACCCTACCCGCAGTACCTGAGCATGATCAAAGCCCAGATCAGCTGTGCCAAGGACATCCACAACGCCTTGCTGGAGTGCTCCAACAAGGTCACGGGCAAGCTGCCAGCCCCGGGAGGGCTCTGACCCCGGGACATCCACAGCTCCACAGCCAGCTGCAACAGCAGGAGCAGGGAAGCTGGCCACCGGGGTGACCTTGGCCCCCAACAACTTTCGGGGAGGCCTGGGCTACTGGGGTGGGGGTGGGGGTGGAGGGCAGGGATTTAAAGGATGAGTTTTGACTTTTTTTTTTTTCAATGAAAAGTTCCTAAGTTTTGGCTTGTTCTCTCTGCGTCTGGATCTTCAGGGCCTGGGCCCGGGGCGGGGGAAGGGGTGCCTAGCCCCAGCCTGCTGAAGGCTGACCTTCTGGCCTGGGAGAAGGGAGCAGTCCCGCCTCTTGGCGGCCAGGGGGCGCCAGAGGACGGCCATCTGTTGAATGGCCCCGCCCATCTGGTGTCTGAATTTGCGCCTGCACCTCCTCCCCGGGGAGAAAAGGTGGGGGGGAGGCCAGAGCCTGGAAGCCTTGTTAGTTACACCCAACTTTTCCCCCTTCCCCGCCCTCTCCTGTCTCTCTTCCCGGAATCGTCTCAGTCCGCCTGATTGGGACTGACTCTGCTTGGGACTTACTCCTCTTTGGTTCTCTCTCTTTAACCGGGACTGTCTCTATCTCTTCTTGGGACTATCAGTCTGGATCTTTCTGTCTCAGAACTGTGGAATTCTGGCTGGATCTCTCTGCCTAGGACTGGCATTGGCTGGGTCTGCTTCCCTGCCTTGGGATCCTTGGCTTCTGACTGGATTTCTCTGCCCAGGACTGTCTCTGGCTGGGTCTCTGTTTCCTTGCCCTGGGATTTTTGTGTCTGAATCCTTCTTGTCTTCTGTCTGAGACTCTCCCTCTGGCTGGATTTCTCTGCCTAGGACTCTCTGACTGGGTTTGCCTTTCTCTCCCTGCTCGGACCTCTGTCACTGCCTCGAGCTGTCTCTCCCTGGCAGGATCTCTGTCTCTGTCCCCCAGGCCAGCTCTAAATCTGGATGTAGCTAAGGTCCTTGGTGTCTCTTCCAGGAGAATATCTCGGGGCTCTCTCTGACTGGATTCCTCCTCTCCCCGCCCCTTCCATCTCCTTTCACCAGGAAAATTGGGACATGGATAAGTGAGGAGGAGCTCTGGGGTGAAAGCCTGGGTCCCTGAGAGGGGAAGGAAGGGGAGGGGGAGGGGAAGGGCTTTTGGGTCCTAGCCAGACTAGCTTTGCTGACACAGCTCCTGACTCACCCGAGGCTCCCAGGAGGAGGGAGGAAATCCCCCAGTTATATAATCACGGCTACCGCGCCCCCAGTGCACATCCTCAATCTTGGGCTAACCCTGGACACTCTGGCTTTCTAGAGTAGGGGTCAAGGACTGGACACTTGAATGGGGAATGGAGGGGGGCCTAGATCCCATTAGGTCCCTGAGACAGAAGAGGATCACTGTTGGGGAAAGAAGGGTACCTCTGCTGGGGTCTCTGAGAAGGATTCCTATAGGAGGCCCATTGGCGAAGAATGGCCCCGAAACCCAGTTTCTTTGTGGTCTTGGGCAAACTTCCACTTTCCCTCCTCTGGCTTCAGTTTTCTCTTGTCTAATGAGAGGGTCCTGGCCTAAATGACGTCTAAGATTCCTCTTAGGTCCTGTGATTCCAGGACCCTGAAAAGGGGAGGGCATCTCAGACTGGGGTCAGAGGAGGAGGCTTTGGGGAGAGCCTGCAAAGAAGAAGGAGCTGTGACGCCAATCCCAAGTCAATCACCCTAATCTCCCTGCCTGCTGCTGGGGAAGGGGAAGTGGGGGTTGGGGCCCATGGAGGGTAGGCAGGGATCGTGGAGTTTGTCTTCCTCATTTCCAGATTTCTCCTCCTGCTGCCCAATCAGGCTGTGTGAGCGGCTGGGGGGGGAGGTGTTTCAGGCCCCTCGTTTTCCTCCTCCCCCTGGGCTTGCCTGCGTCATCAGCTGATTGTGCAAGGGGGGTGGGGCCTGGACACCAGGGTCCAGAGTATTTTTAGCCCCAAAGGAGAAGTGAGAAGGGCGGAGCAGGGTCCTGCAACTGTGCCCTTGGCTGGTGGGGAGGGGAGGTGGCCTGACCTAGCCTCTCCGGGAACATCTGGGATCCAGCTGTGGCCAGCCCCTAGGGGAGGGTCCATGCCTTTCTGCCAGGCCTGGGAAATTCCTCTGGCCCCTTAGCCAAGGGTGGAGAAGACACCCAGGCTAGGACACTTTGTCCTTTCCCCCTGCCTGTGGGGGAGCACATGCAGTCATGAGGCAGAGATGTCACTGGGCACTACCAGAACCCCTCAAAGGCAGACAGACCAGTGGGTCCTGTTCTGTGTAACTGACACACAGACCATCCCCTCTTCCTCCCAGTACAATCCCATAGGGGCAGGGACACACAATTTCATCTGAAAGGTACAGTGACACACAATCTGTCACCTGTGCCCAGTGTGTTCCTGTGTTTGTGAGTTGTCTGGCACACTTAGAAGGCTGCAATCACCAGTCACTCTCTCTTTTCCTCTCTCTCCCTCTTCTCTTTCTGTCTGTCTGTCTGTCTCCCTCTCTCCTTTCTGTACCCATTTCAATCTCTCTGTCTGTCTGTCTGTCTCTTTCTCAATCTCTCATTCTCTCAGGCCTTGGTGGTTTCCGGTACTGGCCTCCCTCTCCCTTGTTGTTCTGGAAACTCTGCCCACCTTCTGGGCCGGAAGCTTGATGATATTTTTAGATCCGCCAATTTCCGCCCCCTCCCCTCCCCCTTCCCTCCCCCTTCCCCATCCCGGGGGCCCTGGTCCCCAGTCCCACCCTTTCCCCAACCTCATTCCAAAGGGGATTCCCGACAGCTATAACAGCTAGACTTCCCAAATCGGGATTTTCCCTCTAATAGCTCCAAACACTTAACTTCCTAGCCTAGGCACCAGAGGCTACCTGGGGCCAGAGGTAGCCAGTGATGCTGAATCGACCATGAGCCAACTCAAGTCAAGTTAACAAGCATCTACTGCGTGCCTGGCACTGTGCTAAGTTTAGAGACAAAAGGCTCTTACTCCTAGATTCCACAAAGGAGGTGATAATGCCTCCAATTCAAGCAAACATTTAAGTGCTTACTGTATGCAAATCCGTATCCTGAAAACAAAAGTACTGGCAAGAGGTAGAATGTGCGAGCCGGGCCCCTCAAGAGTCCAATAAGAAATGGGAGGAATTCCAGGAGATCGTATGCAGGTGAGTAGGTCTGATCTGGCCCCAAAGGCGAGGGGGTAGGTGGGTGGGTAATAAGGATGCCTGAGGGGTCAGAGGCTGTGGATCTGATACCCTTAGCTGTCAGAGGCTATGGAATTTAAGGAGGTCAGAAGGTTGTGATAGCTTCTGAAATGACCTGAATTTGGAGTGAAAATTTGGATCCCTGAGGGAGATGGAGTTGAGGGGGTTAGATGCCTGGGACCCTGAGGATTCTATTTCCGTGTGACTCAAAGGGAGGGATGCTAGAGGAAATTTAAAAAGAAAAAGTTCACTCTATGTAAGGCTTGGTGCTAAGCACTAGAATTATAAGGATGAAAAATAATTGTAATCCCTGAAAAGGTAGAGACCTGAGCCCTAAGGGGGTAGGTGCCAGGCTGGACACCTGGTATCCCAAAGAGTCAGGCTAGATGGTTAAACAGCTAGGCCTCTGAGATCATAGATTTAGAGCAGGAAAGGGTCTTAGAATTCAAGTGGAACCCCCCCCCCCCATTTACAGAGAAGACAGGCCTAGTGAGGCTCCTGTGGGCTTGCTTGGGTTCACCCAGCTAACAAGTGTGTGAGGCACGATTTCAGCCCAGGTCTTCCTAACTACATGTTCAATTACTTATCCTTTCTCTATACCACACTGCCAGAAGCTTTGAAATTAAACATCTATTTTTTGAGGGGGAGGGGGCAGGAGGGAGAATAGAAAGGCTGGATCCCTGAGGACACTAGTCAGGGACTGAAAACTGTGGTCTTTGATTGAGACAAATTCAGTGGGCTTCATAGACTCTCCCTCTACACCCTTACCTCTAAAGCTGGGCCTAGATCCAGGAGTCCAAGTCCTGAGGCATGGTGAGGCAACACTGTTTTAGGGGGTGGAGCATGGGGAGCTCAAGAGTCGTCAGGGAATGAGTCAGGATGCTGGAATGTACCCACAAGCTCAGATCCCAAGAGAAAGACAAACTAATCGTCCTCTAGGATGACTGGGAAGTAGGGAAGGGTCTTGGGGAGGGAGGTTCTTTCTGGACCCCAGGGAACCTCTGAGGTGTGTGTGTGTGTGGGGGGCTGTTCCATCTTCCCCATCAGGTGGCAGTGACCTTATCTCTGGGTCACAATTTCATCTGCTTTGAGCTGGAATCAAGGCCCAGATCTGAAGAGCGTGCTGAAGACCTGGGTCCCTCAGCTCTCTGTTTACAAGGAGAGAGGAACCCCAGCATCGGATCAGCCCCCCCTCCCTACCCTTACGTCACCTGATTCCAGGAAGGGCCCCCACACATACACACCCTGCGGTGGGTGAGTCACTGGGGAGCGTGAGAGCCAGCCACTTTGGGCAGGTGAAACTTGGAGACCACAGGCTCACGGGACCCAAGGGAGACTTGGGGAGGTCCCAGCTCCTGGGAAGATCCCTCCTGACCATCCCTCCCCTCCCCAGAGAAGAGTCTCACAAATTCAGAGATCTTAACCTACCAGAAATCTTCATTCTGGAAAATGAGCACTGTTGGAGAAGGCTTCACTTGGGAAAATGAAGATTCTGGTTATTTTAAATGTGTTCAAGTCAGAGAAAGACCCCAGCACAGGCCTAGAATCAGACAGTTCCCCACCTGAGAGGCCATCTCCCCCAAAATCTGTCCCTAGTGCCTCAAGAAAATTCCTCAGAATGGTAGAGATTATCTCAAGAGTCCTGACTCCAGTCCGGACTCTGCCCAACCCCCTTGGGGGTTTGAGACAGATCCCCACCCCTCTCTGCGCCTCAGTTTCCTTTTCTGGAAAATCTAGCACTCATGGTCTCCCAGCCTTCTTTCCTGGCTGTATCCTCTGGGGTTAGATAATTCATAAACTGACTTTGCCTCTCTCTGTTTGGGTGTCTCTCCTTCTGGGTCTCTGTCTCTCTCTATCTGACTTTCAGGTCTTACTTGACTCTATGTGTCTTCAGCTTGCCATTTAGGTAAAAGGAGGGGCTTAGATCTGGGAAAGACCTTTTTCAGGCCCTTTCTAGGTCTCAGTTTCCCCGTCTGAAGAATGAGGCGGGGTTAGACTGGAAGACGATCGAGTTCCCTTCCAGGTCTTAAATCCTAGTTGTGATCCAATGACTGGGGGAACCTCTCAAGGCCAGCTTCTCTCCCAGAGTAAGGTGCTGGGCCTCCCCCGCCCCGCCCGGGGGCACTCAGTCCGGGAATCGCCCCTCCCCCGAGTCCTCCCTAGTCCCCGCCCTTTCCCGGTCCCCCCCTCCCTCCTCCTCCTCTCTCTCTAGCTCCTGGAGCTCCCCTGGGGGTGGGTCCTGGGCGGCACCGAGAGGCCCCGCCCCCAAAGCAGTCCTTCAAGAATAGCGCCCTGGCCACCCTCCCCACAGTCCTGCATACGCGCACAGTGAAAGCCTCCGCGGGGATGGACAGAAGCGCCACTGCAGGCGGGAAGCCCAAGACCGCCGGCATGGATCTGTGCGCCCTCTACGAGGTGAGCTGCCCCCTCCTCCCCGACCCACCTCTACCTGCCTCCTCACCTCTCCGGAGCGAGCGAACCGAGGCGCCGGCCGCCTCCGCCTGCGGTCTAGGTGGGAGGGCAGTGGCAGTGACGGCCAGCGTTCCCCCTTTCGCCCAGCATTTCTTCGGTTGGGGACCCGGGCACTGGGGGTCCCACAGGGCATTCTTGAGTGCAGATAGGTTGGCAAACTCGGAAACTGGAGTTCCCCCTGGGGTCAGAGAAGGGTCCCTTCAGGATGGGGAACCCAAGGCTTGGGAGGGGGGGCTGCTTCCTTTGGGCGGGTGTGTGTGTTTGTGTGTGTGTGTGTGCGTGCGCGTGCGTGCGTGCTGGGGGTGTTTTGGGACTGGGAGCTGGGGTTCTTTAAGTTGGGGGGGTTACTGGGGGCAACTTACGAATCCAGTTTCTGAGCTGCCTTAGGGTGGAGTCAGGTAGGGGCAAAGAGACTGACGCCTGGGTCCTGGCCCGCACCCCACCCCACCCCCATTTTAGGGTGGGGCTGAGTTTGGGGGAGTTCTCTAGAGCCTGGACCGACGCTATAGTTCCGAGGGACTATCCAGGGGCAAGGAGTGCAGTTGGGTGGGGTTGGTCTGCTCGGCGCAGCGCCGCGACCTCGGGTCCGACGGTCGGTCCCTCCCTGAACCTCCTCTCCTTGCCCTTCTCCCTCGTAACAGAAGCTCCTGTCCCTGAGCCCGGACCTGGCGTCCGCGGCCCGTGGGGAAGTGGACCCCGACCTGGGCTGGGGCTCTCGAGGCCCCTGGAGTTCAAGCCTCGCAGACCTGGAGCCTCCTTCTCCGCCGCGGGCCTCGGCCCCGCTGGCCCCCCGGCTCCCGGGTCGTTCTACCAGCTTGGTGGAGGGCCGCGCCTGGGTACCCCCGCCACCGGGCTTTGAGCCCCTGCCGCCCAGGGCCCTGCCGGCCGCCACCGCCGCGCCCTCCGAAGCCGCTCCCGGTTCCACGGCCCAGGCCGGGGCGGCCTCCTCGTCCAGATACAAGACGGAGCTGTGCCGGACCTTCTCGGAGAGTGGCAAGTGTCGCTACGGCTCCAAATGCCAGTTCGCCCACGGGCCTGGAGAGCTGCGGCCAGCCAGCCGCCACCCCAAGTACAAGACGGAGCTGTGCCGCAAATTCTTAACCATGGGCTCCTGCCCATATGGGACCCGTTGTCATTTCATCCACTACCCATACGATCTTCTGCCGATGGCGTCTGGTCACCCACCCCTGCTCCGCCAGAGTCTCAGCTTCTCTGGGATCCCCTCCTCCCGTCGCCGGGGCTCTCCCACCCTGAGCCCCCCAGGCCTACCGGACCTGCCTTCCCCCTCGAGCTTCTTCTCCCCTCCTTCCTCTCCGCCCCCGCTGCCCACCGCCCCCGGGGAGGTCCCTTTCTCACCTTCTGCCTTCTCTGCTGCCCCTGGCCCAGTGCCCCGGGGAGCCACGGCGGGAGAAGCCTGCTGCCCCTCCTGCCGCCAGAGCACGGGCACTTGGGGGCCCACAAGGGATGCCCTGGGCCTGGGCCTGGGCCTGGGGCTAGCCCGAAGCCCCTCTGCTCACTCCCTGGGCTCTGAGCCAGATGACCAGGCCAGCAGCGGGGGAAGCAGCCTGGGAGGGTCCGACTCCCCAGTGTTTGAGGTAGCAGTGGGGGGCGCCTTTGCCCCCTCTAACTCTCACCTCCTGGCCCCGGCTACCCCCCGGCGACTCCCCATCTTCAACCGACTCTCTGTGTCCGACTGAACACCCCTGTTAACTCCAAACTTAATTGAGTGGGGGATCAGAAGTTCCTCTCCTCTCCCCTCCCGTTGCCAGCTGTGCCCAGATATGGGGGTCCCTCTCAGCTTAGCCCCCAGAGCATTCACCTATTGCCTAGTCTCCCGGGGCAGGTCCCTATGGGGAGCAAAAACTCTCAAAGAGGTGTTCTGGGAGTGTTTTTTTGTTTTTAATGTAGCATACTGAATTGACATATATGTATACGTGTGTATATACACACGTATACACACACATGATAAGTGTGTAAGTATGTCTATAATATAGTGTGTCCCAAAAGTCTTAATTCAGTTGTAAGCATTACTAAGTTAAAACTGTACTGTCTTTGAGACACCTTGTTTAAGGGGGGTCAGAATAGGAGATACCCCCCCCTTTCTTCATGCTGTGAACAGGCTTCCCCAAGTCTCCCCTGGATGGGGGTCTCCCCAGTCCTGGTGCTCAAACCCCACCTAACCAGACCAAATCCAAGTCTCCCTGCCTCACTTCGGGGCCCCTTATTTATGGTGACGACATTATTTATTCCGACGGGTTTTATAGTATTTATATATGCGGTCGTCCCCTCTCCCTTTTGTCTAATATTGGGAGATTGCTGCCACTATAATATATATTTGAAATGTTATATATATATATATATATATATTGTTAGCTAAACAAAAAAGAAATCTCTCTATTTTTGTTTTTGGTGGAGTTTGTTTTTTAATTAAAACTAATACATTACATAAAAGAGGAATCTTGTGTGTGAAAGGTTGTCTTCGTCTCTGTCTCCTGGGGTTCAGGGGTGGGGAGGGCTGTCCTGGGACCTAGGGGGCCGGTCTAGCTGGTTCCTGACTCCTCTGGCCCCAGGGTAGGGCGGTTCCAGGTGAACTCACCAAGGAAGGGAGGGCACCCCTCTCACCTGAGGTGGTGGCCCGGGTGAGGTCACCAGGAAAGACTGGGGGTGGGGAAAGAGATTGACTGCAGTCTTCATTCGAGAAGCTCAGAAGCAGTTATACGGGTTCAGCCACTCTGTTCTGCTCTCTGGTCCTGAGGTGGGAAGGGCTCAGGGACCCTCTCCACAATCCCCATCCCTTCTACCATATTTCCCGTTCCCACCTCCCCCCCTTGTCTATCTCTTTACCAGCCTCACTCCCTCTACAAGTTTCCACGCGTTTTCACCCCCAACCCCTCTTTCACCTCTCATCCAAGTCTATCTCTGGGTGGTGGTGGAAGGAGGGGGTCTCTATCTCTGAGGGGTCCCTGACTTTCCCTCTCTCCTGACTCTCAGCGGCGTCTCCCTGGGTCTCCTTGAGATGCCAACAGGCTCCACGTCTCTGCCTTCGGGGAGTCGGTGCCTCTGCTCCCTCCCTCCCGGTGATTCCGGGACCTCACTATCAAATGAGGTATTTGTAAAGCGATTAGCACAGTGCCCGGCACATAGTAGGCGTTTATTAAACGCCTGTTCCCTTTGCTGTAACCCCCTTCTCTCCCTGCCAGTCTGTGCCTCTGTCTACTTCCTCGTGTCTAAGGGCAGTTCTCTCCCTTCCCCGTCAGTCGGCAGACATCGCTGAAGCGCCTACTGCATACCGGGTCCTGCGCTAACTAAACGCCGGGGCTCCCAAGAAAGGCAGACAGCCCCTGCCCTCAAGGGGCTCCCAGTCCAACCCCCAGCAGCCTGGTGGGGGCGGGCAGCGGAGGGCGGCCCGTCCTCTTCGCTCTCCGAGGCCGTGGGTGGGGACGGGAAGTTTCCGTCTCGCTGGCCACTGGGGAAGGAGGAGGGGGCGGGGAGGGGGAATGGGGACGGAATGTGCCCCGGCGGGGCCGGGCGGGAGGCTACGTGTCAGTGACGCGGGGGATGCGTGTGTGTTTGTGCGCACGTGTGCCCCGGAGTCCCCGCCCCGACCGAGGAGGGGGAAGGAGGGGGGGAGCTCCGCTCCCGGGGCGGCCGCAGCCTCCGATGCCCGTATAAGGCCAGGAGGCCTCCCCGGGGGCGGGGTCTCGGCGTCAGCGCCCGAGGGCCCCGCCCCGTTCGGCTGGGAGGCTCAAGTCGGGACCCTTCCCGGGGCCTCCTGTGACCTTCGGCCTCTTCTTCTGGGAAACCAGAGGGGGAGGGGAGGGAGCCCCTGAGACGCAGGGATCTAGAGAGAGCTCGGAGATGTGATGCGAGGGGGCTGAGAAACAGCGTCCGAGGCGGCCTAGAGGCAGGCGGGGAGACAGCCAGAGACGGGAAGGGTGGGGGGGGGCCGCGGAGGCCGAGGGAGGAAGACCCCTGGCCCGCGCCCCCAGGAACCGAAAGAGGAAGGCGGGGACAGAGCGGGCGACGAAGGCCGCGGCTGCCCCCTCCCGGCCGCTGAGGGGAATGGCACCTAGTCCAGCCCCATCCCGGGAGCCTGAGGAGCACAGGAGTGAGGGTGCGCATGCACGCCGAGCCCGGATCATAACTCTCTTTTAAATTTCAAATATAAAGTGGAAGGAAAAAATCCGTGCTCCAGGTGAGGATCGAACTCACAACCTCGGCATCGCTACGGCCGTACTGCTGTATAAGTACCGCGCGCTAACCGATTGCGCCACTGGAGCCCCGGCCGCGGTGCCGCGAAGCGCGCCCCTTCAGGCTTGCCCACGTGACCGCCTTTCTCTCCCGGTTCTCTTTCCTCCCCGCTCATCTCCCCGTTCCTTGCGCCTGCGTAACGCCGCACGTGACTTCCCTTAGATTTTTCTCTCCAGACGCATCACAGCAGGCTCTTGTGTTCTTCGCGCGCATGCGCATTCCCACCCACTCACCCCGCCCCCGTCCACTTTCCCGTTGACCATATTACAGATCACCCCTGCCCCCTGTCGGCCAATGAGAAAAACGCTCTTCGACGCTCTGTCCCTATTGGCTGAAGCAAACCGGGGACGGGGGTCGGGAGCGAGGACTCGTGCTGGGATGTAGAGGTTATGGGACGAAACTGGGTGCTCGGGTACCCTTCATCCTGCGAGTTGACAAGTAAATAGGGGTTTAGGGTTGCTTGGAGGCAGGTTACCCCCAGACCTCACCTAAACAGGTGCGCTTGAGAACACTCTCCTTATCTGTGCAGTTGTCCCCCACTCCCCTAGAGTTGGGCAACCGCCAAGTGGAGTCCCGGGCACAGTTTGGGATTCCGGTCCTCCGAAACTGAAGGAAACGCAACGGCCCAGTTCTAGACTCAGACGCCCCCCCACCCCAACCTTCTCCCCCCTTCCAATTACTTAGCATTACTTTTGAATAAGTGAGACATTCTTGCTCCGGTCATTGCCCCGCCCCTCTATTAGAATGCAAACTCCTTGAGAGTTGAGACTGGAGTTGTTTATTACCCCCAACACCTAGCCTGGGGCCGTGGCGCTTAGCTTAGATTTGTTACCGGCTGCAAGTTGAATGAATGGAATTAATGAAGGAGGGTTTTGTGTAAATTACTGAGATGAAACCGGAAACTTCTTTTTCCGGCCCAGCGGCGGCGATCTGGGGACCTCAGCTCCGAATTGTTCCTGCCTTATCTACGCAATTACTTTGTCCTTTCTTATCTAGTGACATTTAGTTCCCCACCCCCCAGAACGCGAGCGCCGGGTGAGCCGGGACAAATAGTGTCATATCTTTGTAGAACCACAGGCGGTCAATACTACTAAGCGCCGGGGCACAAGAGTTAAGTACTATGGTTACAAAGAAAGGCAAAAAGTCCCTGCCCTCGAGAAGCTTACAGTCTTCTTGAGACAAGCAACCAACCAGTATGCATGGAAAAGCTATAGCCAGGATAAAGAGGAAGGCACAAAAAGGGAAGACTCGAATTTGGAAGGATCGGGGGATTCTCCGGTCAGTCCATTACCCAGCTCTCAGAAAGCTTACCTGCCGTCCAGATTTAGGGTTACAAAATAAATGCCAGGTGATGGAGGAGTCAGGAAGGCATTAGCCTCGAGGAATCTTTGAGTTGTGAAGGACACTAGGAATTCTAAGGACCAAGAATGACACAGCGCCCGGCCCGTAGTAGACGTTTAATATATTAAAGCTGGTTTTGGTCCTGGACCTGCAGTCTGTGGCGCAGAAAGCAAATCGTCAGATGTTCTAAAACTTAAATTCTTAGAAAGCCTGGGTTCAAGCCCAGCATCTCCCAAATAGGGGAAGGGTGATCCTGGGTAAGTCACTTAACCTTAAAGTGCCCCAAGCAGCTATCAGAAGAAAGAAAAAGAAATATTTGTAGAGGCTGACGGAGATGGATGAGCCAGAGACACCTGAGAGAGACAAAGAAAGAGACCCAGTAGGAGATGCTCGGGAGGGATCCAGCCGGATGGGATGAGGCAAGCTCAGACCAGATATGTTCAGTGACCCAGGGTTGGAGACTGGGGATCAGAAGAGGGGAGCCCCAAGCCCCTCCTCCTTCAGTTCCCACGCTCTCGCTCCGGGGGCCCCAGGCTATAAGGGAGGAGGGAGCCAGGCGTCCCGGTCCTCCGCCTTCCAGCGACCCCCACCTCCAGTTCAGTCTGGGGCTGCCCTACAGCCTGGGAAAGGAGGCGGGTGAAGGGGCCCTGGCTGGCCCCCTGCAGGCTGGACTTGGCCCAGGCTGGGGCAGTGGGCGAGGTCTCCCTTCCTGAATATTCATGAGGTCTGTTAACCCACGGCGGTCCGGCTAGGTTTAACCCCACCCTCTCCCGAATCCCCAGCAGGCGGGAACAGGATGTCTGGGCGGGAGGGGGCGGGGATGGAGGGGAGGGGGCGGGGAGGAGCCAGGCCCCCCTGCCTGCCTGCCTGCCTGCCCGCCTTGTCCCCTCCTCCCGGCCCACAGCTGGAGCCGGCCCCCCTCCCCAGATGTGGCGCCGCCGCCGCCCCCCGGCCCGGCCCGGCCCAGCGCCCAGGGACTGACGGACCCACGGAGGGAGACAGACAGACAGACAGACAGAGCGACGGCTGGCTACCAGCCTCCACGCCGCCCTGCCCCGGCCCTGGACTGCCCCCCGGAGCCCGCTCGGACCTTCTGCCAAAGTTGGTCCTGCTGGGCCCCTCGGCTGCCCCCGGGACGGACACGCCGGCCCCCTCGGGTGGCCCCGCTCCGTCTCCACTTGCGGACACTCCCAGGGCCGGACACGCGCTGCCGGCCGCTGCAAGCCCCGGCCCCGCAGGGGTCCCGGGGTCTGGGGCCCCGCTAGCCCCCTGGGAGCTGGGTGAGATCCGGGGGGCGGCAGGGGGGAGGCGGCCGGAGGAGGAGGAGGGGGAGGAGGAGAGGGGAAGCGGAGGGAAGCGGGGGAGGGGCGGCTCCGGCCCGGGAACAATGAACAGGGGGCGAGCTGGCGGGCGGGGAGGGGGCGGGGCCGGCGCCGGACCCAGGAGAGCCCCGCTCCCCCTTCCTCCCCGGCCCCTTTCCTCCTCGGCCCCCTCCCTCTCCTCTCCTCCCGGAGCCAAGGGATGGCTTGGGAGTCGGCTCGATCCCTGGGTCCCCCGGGTGGATGTGCTCCTCAGATTCAGAAGCCACACCGACGTCCCGGGTCCCCCAAGCCAAGATCGGGGACCTTTGTGCAGATCCAGAACCCAGACACATTCCGCTCCCCCCAGATATAGGCTCCTCCAGTGTTCTGGCTTAGAGCTGATCCCTGGGGATCTTGGAGGGGGCAGACATAGGAAGTCCCTTAATGGTGTCTTGGTTCCAAAAGAAAGGAATGGTCGGTTCATCGGTGCTCGAGTGTGGCTCCATTCCCTACTCAAAGGTAAAAACCTCGCTGGGGCACAGCCCAAGTTTATGGTTGGGGGGTTGTGTTCACGTCTCAGAATCCAGAAGCAGAGACAAAAGGAGACACTGAGTCAGAGAGAGGGAGAGGTACTGAGACAGAAACAGACTGAGGGATGGAAGGCGGAAGGCTCAGCTGGGACCCTGGCATCCTGCCTTCCAGCCTTCTCCTTTCCCCTGGGGACCCTCCAAGGCTCCCGCCCCCGCAGCCTTTCCCAGCCCCTCCCCTCAGACACACACCGCCTGACTCTCTCCTCTCTGTCTGTCTCTCTCTCTCTGTCTCTGTCTCTCTCTCTCTCTTCTGTCTGTCTGTCTGTCTGTCTCTTTCCTCTGCTCTCTGCCTTCCTCTCTCTCTTCCCTCCCCTCCTCTTCTCTCTCCCTTCCCTTCTCATATCTGACCATGAGACAGTTTACTCTCTCCTTCAAGGGACGTTAAAACAGAACATAGAAATCTTTTGCTGTCTGTCTCAGTCTGTTTCATTTTCTCTTTCTTTCTCCATCACAGTCTCTCCCTCTTTCTTTCAGGCTCTGTCTCTTCCTCCCTTTCTTCTGCCAAATAGAATCCTCTCCTTCCAAAGGTCCACCAGCTCCTCACTCCCAGAGAGACCTTGATGGGGAGGGAAGAGTGTATGTGTGTATCTCTCTGGGTCCCCAAACCTGTGTGTTTCTAATCCTCCCTGCCCACCTGCCCCTTACTTTCTGTTGGGTTTTTTGGGTTTTTTTTTTTTGGCTTTTTGGTGAGGTAATCAGGGTTAAGTGACTTGCCCAGGGTCATACAGCTAGTAAGTTGCCCCTTACTTTCTTCAATTGCCAGTGGCCTTTCTGCATTCTGCTTTCTCCAGGACCGTGCTTTGAGATCTGCCAGCCATGCCTGAGGGAGCCCACCGTCTGAGTCTCACCAAACCCAGCCCGACCCCAAGCCCTGGGTGTAGCCACCGAGGTGGGACGTGGGCATAGATGACATGCAGCATGTTTGTGTACCGGGTGATGTGCAAGGGGGCTGTTAGAGGGGAGTATGCCAGGTGGCCCAGGAAGCCTGCTGCCTGCTGCTAAATGTGGCCTGGTCTCTTCTTCCAACAGGACTTCCCTCAGCCCTGCCCATGGCCTCCCCCCGAGGATCTGGAAGCTCTACATCTCTGAGTACTGTGGGCTCTGAGGGGGAACCTCATCCAGGCCCCAGCCCTGGCCCCAGCTCCAGCCAGACCTGTTCTGTGCCAGCCCTGGAGCCCCTACCAGGGCCCCCGATTCGGCTGCACCTGACTCCCGTGGGGCCTAGAGGGGAGCCGGGGCAAGGGACCAGGAAACCCTCACACCTGGAGCGTGTGGTCAGGGAGATTGTGGAGACAGAGCGGGCTTATGTGCGGGACCTCAGGAGCATTGTGGAGGTGAAGGAGGCCCTTCCTCAGATTCCCCAAATTTAGTACCCATCAGGGTCCCCCAGAAAACTCTTCTCCCCTTTAATTCTCCCAGGAGCCCTCTTGGGCCCATATCCCATGCTTTCAGCCCCCCTCCAGTTCCTACTGCAGCTATCAGCCTGGGCTTGGAGGCAGAGGGATTAGGAGACCTGGGTTTCTTCCCTGCAGGATTACCTGGGATGTCTGGTGGCCAATGGCCCTCCTGGGCTGAACTCAGAACATCTCGGAACCCTCTTCTCCAACATCGAAGATATCTATGAGTTTAGCAGGTCAGAAGGGACCCAAATGTCTAGGAATTGTGGGGCATGCTGCCAGGAAAAACCTGCTCTCATCCACTTAGACTGATCAGGATTGGTCTCTGGATAGAGCTTCTCTTTTATATCATGAGGATGGTGTCACACTATAACCCATTCTTCCCCTCCCCACTTAACAGTGACACACTAGAACTGCTCCATTTTACAGATGAGAAAACAGACTCAAAGATATTGATTGATTTGCTCAGGGTCACACAGCCACCCAGTGTCTGAGGCAGGATTTGAGCCCAGTTCTTTCTGACTTCAATTCCAGCACTCTAGCCACCATCCTGGTTGGGGAGAAGGGCGCATCGGCAATAAGGGCTGCTATAAATGACCTTCCCATAAGGTCCCCTCTTCCCAGGAGTTGATATCAGCTCTGAGAACTGAATTCCTGGACCTTGGATCTGGGGAACCAGTATAACTGACAGGATGCCTGTGTGGATCTTGGATCTGAGGCATGGGTGTAACAACTTGAATATGGGGGTGCAGAGGTTTCTGGGATCTGGGGAGTGGACAAGGGGGCCTCCCTTCAAGATGGGGGGCCTTTGGTCATAACCTGGGGGTTATGGCCCTCCCCTGTTCCCACTCCCTGCCCTACAGTGAGCTCCTGGAAGACCTGGAGAATAGCAGCAGTGCCCACAGCATCGCTGATTGCTTTGTGCAAAGGGTGAGCACTGGTCAGATGCTAGCGACCCACACCCATTGGGGGTCGGGGGTCAGGAAGAAGGGCGCTTCTGGGTCCCCAGAGCCCTGGGAAGGGGAATCCCTGGCATGAGAGCAGAGGAAGGGGATTGAGAAGAGACTGGGATCCTAGCTCTCTGTGTGCGTGTGCAAGAGTATGTGTGTGCATGTGTAAGGTGGGGGAAGGGCAGCCAGATAGCTGGGGTCCCTGCTGACCACACTCATTGCCCACAGAGTGAAGAGTTTGACATCTATACCCTTTACTGTATGAACTACCCAAGGTAAGTCCATTCTCCCTCCCCTACACTCCTCTCTCTCTCTGTCTATATATATATGTATGGATGTATACATATGCATGTAATCAACTATTCATTTTTCCTTCCCTGACCCTGTGTGACATTTGAGTGCTGCTGCTGGAAAGCCAACGTCCTTCATGATCTAGCCCCAACTAGAGACCCCTTGACCACCCCCTACCCCCCAATCATCCCCTCCAGATTCCCATAACCCTTTGTAACTCCTGTGACTTCTGCCCCTCCCCAGCTCCATGGCCTTGCTTCGGGACCTATCCCTCTCTCCTCCCGTGGCCCAGTGGCTCCAGGAACGCCAGACCCAGCTCCGACATTCACTGCCCCTGCAGAGCTTTCTCCTCAAACCTGTCCAGCGCATCCTAAAGTATCACCTCTTACTGCAGGTGCCAACCTGGGCCTGAGGACTGGGGATGGGGAGACAGGGGGTGTTAGAGGCAGAGAAAGGCAGACCCTGAAAATAAATCTGCTCCCTCTTATTAGGTGAAAGCTCAGGGCTGGGGGGCAATGAGGCAGCTGTCCAGGGAGCAGGGGTCAGGGACAGACCCCAGGAGAATGGCTGGAGGGACAAAGATCAGAGGAGTCCCACGTAGAAGATGGCTGCAGGGCCCTATAGTGGGGCTGGGCAAACCTAGGCCTTGGCAACTTGGGGGGCCAGCTTCGAGTCTGGAGTGAGTGGGAGAGGCTCTAGGGAAAATGACAACATGACCAGAAACCCAGACCCAGGGACACATATAGAGCAAAGATGAGAAACTCCAACCCAGACTCAGAGGCGGAGAGACGGTGCTCAGGGAGAAAGCGACTGAATGCCATTTCCTTCCTTCCTCCGTTCCCTCCCCCTCAGGAGCTGGGCAAACACTGGCCAGAGGGAGCCGGGGCAGAGCAAGGCCCTGGGGGCCGAGAGGTGGTGGAAGACGCCATCGTCTCCATGACGGCAGTTGCTTGGTACATTAACGACATGAAGAGGAAACAGGAGCATGCAGCTCGTCTGCAGGTGGGGCCAGGGCTTGGGGAGCCTGGGGGTGGGGCCGCCTACAGCAGGGCGCCTGTTCCTGGCCCCTGCTTGTCTGTCCGTGTGTGCCCCCCTCAATGTATGTTCATTTGTGTGTCTCCCTGTATCGCAGGAAGTACAGCGGCGTCTGGGGGGCTGGGGGGGCCCAGAGCTAAGTGCCTTTGGGGAGCTGGTCCTGGAGGGCGTATTCCGAGGCGGGGGTGGCCCCCGGCTTCGGGGGGGCCAGCGTCTCCTCTTCCTCTTCTCTCGTATGCTCCTGGTGGCTAAAAGACGAGGGCCTGGCTATAATTACAAGGGGCACATCTTCGTGAGTCTGGGGCTTCCCTTGGAGTGGCGTCGGGGCTGGGGAGAAAAGGAGTCTGAGCCTGGGTCCTAGCAGGGGGGACATCCCTGAAGGGGCAGGGGGCTAGGAGGTGGGATGCCTGAATCCCTGCAGGGTGGGGGGCCAGAGATGCAGGCACCTTTGGGTTCTCCAGGGGGTGTTTAGGAGGCTGGCCTGCCAAAAGGAGGCAAACTGCCCTGTACTCTCTGAGGTGGAAAGCTAAGAGCCCCAAGACAAGAAATGGGATTAGATATTCGGGGCACTAGGAGGCCTGGTGGCTGTAAGATCTGAGACTCAGGCTCCTCCCCCATCCTCCCAGTGCTGTAACCTGTCCGTGAGTGAAAGTCCCAAAGACCCCCTGAGCTTCAAGGTGGCTGATGTGACCATTCCCAAGCACCAGCACCTGCTGCAGGTAACCAGAAACCTGAGGTGTCAGGGTGGGTGGGGGCCTCCTCTAAAGGCCTCAGCCCTTATGTGGCTCCCTTTCTTCTCCAGGCCAAGAACCATGAGGAGAAACGTCTGTGGCTTCATTACCTGCAGCGCTTAATAGTGGAAAACCACCCAGCCTCCATTCCCCCTAAGGTGAGGAGGTCCCTGCCCTGCCTCCCACCCCGGCCGGCCCGTGGCCCTGTCCAGAGGCCCCGGGACATCCCCCTTTGCAGCCACTTCTCTTGGTCTCTTTCAGGCAAAGCAAGTCCTCCTGGAAAACACTTTTCACTGTGCGTGAGAAACTTTGTACCCCCTCCCCCTGCTCCTGGGGACAGGGGTGGGGGAGGGGGGCTGCAGGAGACCTGTGTGGGATACAGTGGTGGCTTTGACTCCCCAGACTTCCTTTGCAGGTGTGCCTGAAGGCCAGCCCAGCTGTGAGCCTCTAACACCCCCACTTGGGTCCCCCCGCCTCCCTGAAGGCCGGAACTTCACGGGCCGAAGGACGACAGGTACAAAGACCACTCAGGTGGCTTGCCCCTCCAACCTTACTCCGTCAGTGGACTCAGGCCCCCAGCACTCCAGCGTTTACCCCTGGATCCAAGGGTCTACCCCCAGGGACCCAATGGGCCCATTCTCTCAGCTAGGACCTGAGTGAGTGTGTGGGGGCAGGGGACGAATGGCTTCTTCTTCCCCACAGACCCCTCCCCATCTCTGCACAGCCCCGCAGGGGCCTCCCCAGGCCGAAGAGGCCGAAGGCAGTCTGGTAAGTGGAGGGCCCAGACCATCAGGGTTGGGGGGGGTGGGATGGGGATTGTGGGGGGAGCAACTGGCCAGCCACCCCAAGTCACTTATGTTGCCCCACCCACCCCTACAGAGCCAGCAAAGGAGTCTCACATCATGTTTCCTCAGATGGGTCAGTGCTCCCCGGCTCCCTCTGGGGCTGGTTTGTGTGTGTGTGTGTGTCTGTCTGTCTGTGTCTGTGTCTGTCCCTTGTCCTTCACTATCTCTAGGTGGGCTGTATATGTGTATATTGGTGGGGGGTCCGGGAACTTACATGCAGAAATTAAGAGACTTCCTAATATTCTTTGTTTTCTCCTTCAGCTGGATCCAGGCTCAAGGTAAGAAACATCATCTCTGTGCCAGGGATGCAGAAGCCTGGCTCTGAGGGGGTCGGGGCTTGGGCAAACACCGGGCTCTCTGAAAGGGTGGATGCTGGACACTGGGCACCTGTCACTGTGTTTGGCCCTGGTAGCATGCTGGCAGTGAGGGGGAGCTGTTCCCGATGTTGGAGCCCCTCTGCAAGGCTCCAGCCCCAGAGCTGGCCCTGGTCCCAGCCTCAGGAACCCCTGAAGACCTGGAGGAACCAGCTCCCCCAAACCTGGGCCCCCCAGGGCTCTCTATCACTGAGGAGATCATGGAGCTGCTGAGTCAGCGAGGTCTGCAGGAACCAGGGGTGAGCCAGTGGCAGCCGGGGCTGGTCTGGGGTGGCAGATGATTGAGTCCTGTTCAGACACTGAATTCAGGATCTGTACCATCTGAAGACCAGGTGTCCGGCCCTAACCTTTTCCCTCTCTTTCCTCCAGCTTTCACCTCTGGAAGTTTCTGAAGCCCCCAAATTTCAGAAGGAGGCTGAGTCTCCAAATCAGACCGAGAATGTTGGCCCAGAGACCCCAGCCCCATTAAGCAGAGAGTCCTCTGAAGAGGAGGAGGGAAAACAGCAGGAAGACAGAGGGCCATCTCCACTCCACATCCTAGAGGGGCTGGACAGTACTGAAATTTCCAGCATGTCTGAAATTCCGGGCATTGCTGCAATTTCTGACATCCCCAGGCTTCCGGACATTCCCCAAATTCCCAGTTGTGAGGACAGCCCCAGAATTTCTGGGGAGCCCTGCTCCCAAACATCAGCTCAGGATGGGGATTCGGATACGACAACATCGGGAACAACAGTCCCATCAGAAAAGACGGATGATGGAGCTGAGCCCAGGCAGGAGAGCCAGTCATCTTGGACAGAGGAAGAAGAGGAAGAGGAGGAGGACACAGAAGGAGAGCTGTCTCCCACTTCTCTCAACAGGACTGGTAATTCAGAGACCCCAGAGTTCCACTCCTGCTCAGAGATCCGGAGGGCCTGGCAGGCCCTGGAGCAAGGCTCCATGGAGGGAAGGAGCTCCCAGGGCAGCATTCTGGAACCGTTACTCATCCTGGAAGAATCAGACTTCAGGGGAAACTGCAGAGTGGGTTCCCTGTCCCAGCTCCTCGTCGGAGGGGATGGGCCCAGTGGAGGGGCTGGGTCTGAGAGAGTGGCCACACGCGTCCGGGAGTTAGCACGCATGTACAGTGACCGAATTGAGCGGCTCCAGAAGGCTGGGAACCAGGCGTCTGCTGCTGGCGCCCGGAGGAGAACCCGGGGCCTGGTGCATTCCCACCAGCTCCTGGCTCCCCCAGAGAAGGAGGAGGAACTTCAGCCTGGTAAGTCTCCCAGAACCTTGGGCGGGAGGGGAGGTGGAGGAAAGGGGAGAAAGGTGACTACTCCTCTGTCTCTCTCCCCCCAGGACCCCTCCCTGCTTTTGGCCACGTCCTAGTCCGAGAGGTGAGCTTCCCCGTGGCTTGTGCTCATGCTTCTGTGGCTCTGGTCCCTGCAATGCGATCCCATGCTACCGCCCCATTGGTCACCCAAAGGCCTGAGCCTGCCCCTGCGGAGCAGCATTGTCCCACTGAGGCTGGTGGACTCCTAGACACTGAGGTCCCCAAGGAGGAAGCCGTGAACCTCCCCCTTACGGAGGCTGTCCAGTCGGCCCCTGAAGCCCCGCCCCTGAGCCTACCCCCTCAGGGACGCCAGCTCTTAGGGTCAAGTGCAGCTGCTCTGTCCAGATACCTGGCTGCTTCTTGTATCAGTCAGAGTCTGGCAAGGAGAGGGGCAGGGGTCCTAGAAGGGGAGGTTCCTCTGGCCTGGAGGCCCTCCCCAGCCAGGGCTCCCTGGGCCTCAGCTCCCTCGTCCCGAGCCCCATCGCCGCCACCCTCTGCTCGGCCCAGCTACTCTACCACAGTCAGCATCCGAGTGGGGGGTGGAGGGCGGCTGGGTCCAGCTAAGGCCCAGGTCCGCCTGAATCACGCCCCTCTGCTGGCCTCCCTGGATGTCTCAGGGCAGCGCCGAGTTCAGGGAGCTGCTAAGGCCACTCCTAGAATGTGAGCTGAATGCGGGTGTCCTTCAAACACAAGGTTGGGGTTGGAGTCACGCTCAGATCTCCAAAAATAAAAGACTTGAAGATATTTAAGGCCCCGAGAAGACAAGGCTGAGGATCTGGACATTTGGGTCCTACTTTGGAGCTGGCTTTGTGCCTCAGTTTCCCCATACACTCCCCCGTTGTCCAATACAGAGGTCTGTCAGGCCCACTAAGTGCTTTGAAAACCCACAGAGGGCTGCCTTTAATGTTATTAATAATTAATGTTATTATTTTCTGTTTGCACATTCCTTGGGTGGGGGCATTTTCAGTTGTACCACTCCATATAAATACTGTCAACCCCGCCGCCCTTCCCCCAAACCCTTTGCAGGAAGGGAATTCTCTGAAGGACATGGGGCTTGGGGACCTGGGTAAGGAAATACCCCCTATTCCACCTAACCCCCAAGTCCCTCTATCCTAGCACTGACTACAGCCCCTCACTTCCTCTCCAGAAACATAAGGTCCTTGTTTGAGAGGACCAAGCCCTCCGCCCCCCAATAAATGGATTTAAGCTGTTTCATTCTTAGTGACTGGATATGATGGGGATGCTATTTGCTTTTGGGAAGCTCCTGGTCTGCGGCAGGGAAAGTTGGATATGGGCCAGGGGACTTGTAGGTTTGAAGCCTGGCTCACCCCTGTGAACAGTGCAGATCTCATAAGCCTGAGTGTCCTCACCAAACAAAGAGGGGGGTTAGAAGAAATGTCTGAGGACCACAGCCTTGAACTGAAAAATACATCAGAGTCCAACAGGGCAAAGCCCTATCCTGACTCCAGATATGTCATGTCCCTGTAGCCTCATCAAAGGAGATTAATTGACCTGTCCTCCAGAGAACGTGGAGATGTCATGTTTTCTCTTCCAGTGCAGAATGGCCCTTGGACTGGCCTGTGGTCCCTTTCCTTTCCTTCCAGATTAGGAGACAGTCAGTCTGGCCCGAGTTCTAATAGTGCCTTTGACACTCATTAGCTATGTGACCCCTGGGAGTCACTTAACCGGGTAGTTTCCTTATGTACAAAGTGGGGATATAATAAAACCTATTTCAATGGGTTGTGTGGATGGAATGAGAAACTACATGTAGAGGAAAGCACTTTGGAGTCTATGGCGTTCGACTGAAGAGGGCTTTGTGAGCACTGGGGTGTAGGAAGCAGCAGTGGGAACTTCAGCCAGGGGCCTGTCCTCGCTGTGGTCTGGGCCCCCTAGCTTCCCAGGCCGGCTCAGTCTCCTGAAGACCCTAATCCCGAGTGTCCAGCCCAGAGGCCAGGAGGTTGCCTCCAAAGAAGCTGCTTTGCTGGGGTCCCCTCCAGCTCAGGCTGTTCCAAGGCAGGATGTCCTGAGCATGTCTTCCCACCTTGGGAGACATGGCTTCTGCCCCCTGGTAGGTTCTGCCCACCTCAAACCCACAGGCTCACCATGGACAGGGACCTCATTTTCTGGTCTCCATCCAGTCCAGCTGCTGGATTACATCTTTTTTCAAGAAGCCTCCCACCCACACGGTGCTTTGTGGGTCCAGGCTGGAGCCTTGGGGTGAGGGGCCTTAGTCTCCTTCCCCTAGGCCTGTAACAGCCCTTCTGTAGCTAGGGGGAGGAGAAGGTTTGAGATATCGACCGACCGTATAAGGGCTATTCCCAGGCCATGTTTCTCCCGCCCACGGCTTTCCAGGATGCCATCCAAGGGAAGGAAGGAAAATTCCCAGCCAACGCTCCCAGTCAGCAAGCATTCCCAGCATTCCACTCCCCCCTCCAACTAAGGCAAGTAGGAGGGGGGGAATTCTGTTTTGCATTTTCCCCCTCCCCTTAGGGGAAAGGGGGTGGGGTATACAGGCAGTCATTCAGCCCCAGATGCATCCCAGCTGTTCCTAGTGAGGGATGAGGCAAGCCACAGCCCTCAAAAGCTCAAGGATGCTAGGATCCCCTAGCAGGGATGGCCAGGTGTCCTGCTGAGGGAACCTAGCATCTCTGGGAAGTCTCACCAGCAAACTCCTAGACTCTACACCGGGTTCCAGATGGAAGACAGGCTGGGAAGGAACAGGCTCAGAGGCCAAGACATGGGTCTTTCACTTTGGCTGGAGGCATGGCAGATGAGAAAACTGGCCAAGTTCCAATCCTTACAAGCATTACTGGGGTGACCTTAGACAAATCACTTAACCTTACTGGGCCTATGTCCTTCAGGTTTGGACCAGAGCGCCTTCTGATCTGTCCTTATCTCATAAAACATCTGCCAATTCGGTAAATGGCGCCTCTGCAATCTGGCTCCTCCTCCTGTCATTCAATCAGCCCTTGAAATCGCTTAAGTAACAACTCCCCAAACCCAACAGCTCGACTCCAGTAACGGCTGTGCCGAACAGAAAGTGGACATTTCAAAGCTAATACGACTTGGTTAAGTGAACAGATTTGAGGACAATGGTGTTGAGAAGGGGTTCACTGGATGCTGAGGGCCCTCAGCCAGATAAGAAGGCAAATGCCTTCTGTCTTCAGGACCCTAGATTCAGAGTTGGAAGGGGTGTCAGCTGGTCCAACATCCTTACTCCAAAGGTGAGGAGCCTAAGGATGCCATGCCACTTATCCAAGGTCCACACGGAAGGTAGACACAGGGGCCTAACTGGAGCACCTCCTTCTATCTGCCCATAACACAAGACTCTTGGCCCACCGTACACCCCTTTACCCTCCACACCAGCTGGGCATTTGTCCAAATCTCTGGGGGAGGAAAGCTTCTCCCTCCCCACTTGAAAAAAAAAAAAAAAAAAAAAACCAGCCAAACATTTCAAGGCCTACGGGATAATCACCCAAACTCCTTAGACCATGGCCTACCGGCTTTCCTTCTACTCTCAGCTTTATTAAGGCGAGATGACTTGTCAGCCAGTGCCAGATCTCCTCCCGCCCCAAGAAGGCACTTGACCACCAGCGAGGCCTTTACACAGCACAGCCTGCCAGTGTTTCTATTTCCTTTGTCCTCCACTTGTGTCTGTTTTATCTGGATGTACAGTAGAAAGCACACTGCTGACAGGCAGGTATGGTATCCAGCAGGGCCCTAAAAGGAACCCAACTCTGACATCTGCTCCAAGGTTCCACGAGCACTTTGGGTCAGCGTCTCAGCTATGTCCTTCAGGCGGGCCCAAGTCCTCATCTCTCCTGGAGGATCCTTGGGGTCCTGGCCCATTCCCACCTTCCAAGAATCCTCTGCACATTCTTCTCAATAGTTGTGGTTCTCATCTTTCCCTGCTCAGAAATCCTGAACAGTCCTTACCATCACTGACCAATTTTCATCACCTTCCTGATCCACCAGCACACACACGCGGCTCATTCCATCCAACAGGGCTGAGCGGCCTAATTTATGCACCACTTCCCATCTCGATTGTTTAATCCTGCCCCTGGTCCCTAACTCACTGGGAGAGATCTGAACTATGTGGATCACCAGGGCAGAGATAGGAAGTTGCTTGTTCAGTGGTATTTGCCACATTCCTTTAAGTAAGGGCTTCCTGAGGGCAAGGACAGGTCCTTTTGCTTTTAAGGAATAGGGGAAGGACTCACACCCACTTTCAGAAGGGGGACTTTTTTTTTCTGGATTTGAGGGTGGCTGGGGAGAACAATGCATGACATCAGACCGGAGCCTCAACACGAGCAACGTCAGAGACCCACGGCTGAGCTCCAATACTTTCTTCTTGGAACAGAAAAATCCCCTCTACATTCAAGACCAGGGGTGGGGAACCCGCAAGCCTTGAGGCCAGAGGTTCCCCACCCCTGTTCAACACCAACCACAGCTTCTCAAACCCAAGAAGGTCATATGCCAAATTTATTGCAAAAAGACCCACAATCCCAGCAGCTGTCTTATCGATAGGATTTCTGGTAGCGAGCCCGGGCCCCAGGACCACCAAACTTCTTAGACTCGCAGCGACGAGGGTCAGCCACCAGCAGAGTTCGGTCATACTGGATAAGGATGTCTTTTATTTCCTTCTTGGAGGCCTCATCCACATCTGGGAGGAGGAGGAAGGAGAAAGATAACATATCACTGCACTGACAACTCCTTGGCCAACAAAACCAGGTTCACCCCTATTTGTCTCTAAGTACAAATAGCAAGGGAATCCAGTGCAAATCATGCCTGATACCTTTACTAAGAGTGTGACCCTGGGCAAGTCTCTTCACCCTTCCTAACCTCAAGTTTCCTCATCTGCAAAATGGGAACAAAAATAGCACCTACCACCCCACAGGGTGGGTTATAAGGACCAAATGTGGTAACACATGCAAAGTGCTCTGTAAATCAAGACTGGTTCACTTGCCCTAAAGATGGAGAAGCCAAGAGACAGAGCATTCCATGGAAATACCCACCAACCATATTCCCCAAAGAGGAATTAATGGTCCCATTTCTGACCACAAGGTTCTTCTAGACCAAGGTCATGTATACGAGTCACTCCCAGGGCCTAACAGTGGTACCCAGAAAACAGAAAGGGTATGGAAATGACCCAAATGTCACCTGACCATATCACCCACTCTTCACTTACATTTCTGGTAATAGGCCACCAGGGCTTTGGAGATGGACTGCCGGATAGCTGCAGGAGAAGGGAGAGGGGGATGTTAGCAGTGACCATGTAACCCCACCCCCTAAGAATACCAAGAAGCTGGTAGAGAAGTTCCACCCAAACCCAACTCACCGTAAATCTGGGCGACGTGGCCTCCTCCTTTCACACGGACTCGGATATCTACTCCAGCAAAACGTTCCTTGCCTAGTAGGAGGACAGGCTCCAGCAGCTGCAAGAGAGGAGAACCCGAAATCAGGAGCCAGTCTCAGCAGACCTTCCTCTTGGGTACATCGGGGGTCACTCCATCTGACCACCCATTTTTATGGCAATCCACTCATCGGAAGATGGAAGTCCCTGCCTGAAAAGGCCTCCCTGGACACTCCCCATTCTGTGAGGAGGGCAGACCTCCTCCCAAGCCAATCAACACCAACTATAAACATGGCACAGTGCTAGGTGCCTAGATGACAGGCTAAATGGTCCTCAAGGAGGTTACACTGGGTGATGACAGTTTGTAGAAAGATCATTATGTAAGAGATGATCTTCAGAAGGAGATCGCGGAGCCCCTTGTTACTGGCAGCAGCCCCACAGTTCAGTAAAGCCTCAACTTGCCTGGAATCATAAAAGCAGCCAATGGACATTAATACTATCAAGAGTCCTCTCTGGAAGTCTGTCCACCCCTGTGGCCCCTTTCTACCACTGCTGAGCCCTCCCAAGGTCTCTTTTGGGGAGAGGCTTAGGCAGCCATCCTTCATGGCTCTCAGGACTTCACCCCCTCCACCATGTGATCTCCCATTCAAATGTGCCCCCCCCACACCTCCCCTCACTCTGGTCAGCAGAAAATATCAAGGGCCAAGGGCTGCCTTTGCCCCCCCTCCCCAGCCAAAGAGATGAAGTGAGAGCTAAAGGCATTGGGGCAGCTGCCGAGAAGCCTTTAGGGCTACGGCAGGCCAGTCCAGGTACCTTGTACTGCAGGGTGCGAGGCTCAATCATCTCCAGTGGTCGCCCATTC